GTGGGTGAGTGGGTGTGAGAGTGAGTGAGTGTGAGAGTGAGAGTGAGTGTGAGAGTGAGAGTGAGAGTGAGAGTAGGAGTGGGAGTGAGAGTGAGAGTGAGAGTGTGAGAGTGAGAGTGAGAGTGAGAGTGAGTGAATGAGAGTGAGAGTGTGAGTGTGAGTGAGTGAGAGTGAAGGTTGGCGCGAGTGAGTGTGGGTCCGAGTGAGTGAGCGAGTATGAGTGCGAGTGAGTGTGAGTGTGGGTGAGTGAGTGAGAGCGAGTGAGAGTCTGCGAGTGTGAGTGTGAGTGAGTGTGGGTGAGAGTGAGTGTGAGGGAGAGTGAGAGTGACTGTGAGTATGAGTGAGACTGAAGGTGAGTGAGAGTGAGAGTGAGAGTGAGAGTGAGAGTTGGCGCGAGTGAGTGTGGGCGAGGGTGAATGAGCGAGTGTGAGTGAGAGTGAGTGTGAGAGTGAGTGTGGGTGAGTGAGTGAGAGCGAGTGAGAGTCTGCGTGGGTGTGAGTGTGAGGAGTGTGGCTGTGAGTGGGAGTGACAGAGTGAGTGTGAGTGCGAGTGTGTGAGAGTGAGAGTGTGAGGTGAGAGAGTGACCATCTGAGAGCACAAAGTACTTCGCCTGCCACGAAATCTGCACTTCGAAGTTCACCAAGCGCTGTGCCTGCCACAAAATCTGCACTTCGAGGTTCACCATGCGCTGTGCTTGCCAGGAAATATGCACTTCGAGGTTCACAAAGTGCTGTGCCTGCCACGAAATCTGCACTTCGAGGTTCGCCAAGTGCTGCACCTGAAGTTCCCAAAGTGCTGTGCCTGCCACGAAATCTGCACTTCGAGGTTCACATGCTGTACCTGTCACGAAATCTGCACTTCGAGGTCCACCAAGTGCTGCACCTGCCGCGAAATCTGCACTTGTAGGTTCACCAAGTGCTGCGCCTGCCACGAAATCTGCACTTCGAGGTTCACAAAGTGCTGTACCTGTCACGAAATCTGCTATTCGAGGTTCACCAAGTGCTGCGCCTGCCACGAAATCTGCACTTCGATGTTCACCAAGTGCTGTGCCTGCCACGAAATCTGCTAACGAGCCACATGTCCAAAAGTCACGATTCACTGCACCTGTCACGAAATCTGAGCTCCTCGACGATCACCACCATGTCCAAAGTGCTGCGCCTGCCACGAAAACTGCATTTCCAAGCGAAACACCTCCGATCCCTTGCACCTGTCACGAAAAGTCGACTTTGGAGCACCAAAACACGAGGATTCCTTTGCGCCTGCCACGAAAAGTGACCACCATGTGCGAAAATGTGCATGGCACCACAATGAGAGCGCAGTCGCCTGAAGCACCCGCCGCGGACACCCAGATTCAGCGAGCCTGTGCAGTCGAAGTGCACATGTACGACGTCGAGAGTCATCAATGTATTGTAAATAGCAGCGAATTGGCCGGACACGCCCACGCGGAACAGCGATCTAAGCACACCTTCCTTTCACCTACCGTAAGAACCCCTGAGTGTGTCCACACTGTTTGGGGAAAAAAACTTTTGATTTTCAAAAAGTTGCACAACTTTTCATACAGACCAAGAAGATTCCAACAACCATTGATTTGATGGTCTTTACCGAACAACCCTCCCTTTCCTAAGCATTTTAGACTGCAACGCCATGTCAACCATGGTTTTCATGGTTTTCATAGTCTTTGAAGACTAGGGGGGCTGAACCATCGTTCCGTTGTCCGGGCAGGCCGCGGTGGGGAACCCGAGCTAAAGGCCGAGGGCCCTCCGCGGCCAAGGCCCTGCGGACGGAACTTGTGTTCCTCTAGCTCCGGAGGGGCCCAGTCCTTCGTCACCCGGCGGAACGGATGTGCATGCGAACGCTTCAGTACAGCTTGAAGCTAGCCTTCGGATCGTGCGAGAGCTCCGGGACTGGTTGAGCCAAAAAGCAGCCGCACAGTAGTCTGAGGGCACTGGACTGGTTTGGTCTTCAATTCAAGTTGACTCACCGGTCCGAGGAGCTTTCCGCGCAGATGTTGCCAGGTTGCGAAGAAATGAGGCCATGCACTTCCGAGCGCACCTTTGGTAGATGTCCCTTCCGAAGTGTGCGACAGAGAATGCAGAGAGTTTAGGGGCCGACCTACCAGAACGAGTGGTTCGTGATTCGGCAAGAGCTAGGAGAGCTGTGCGTCGCCACATCTTCCCGCCGACTCAAACAGGAATGCACTGGCTGAGTCGACCGTGTAGCAACGAGCCATGGTTCCTTCGGGTGACGTACCTGTGAGGCTTGAGACCCGTTTGCGTCATCGACCTCGATCGGTGTCTCACCTCTTGGGACTGGTGCCTTCCAGTGCGAAAGCGAGGGGCTGGCGGTTTCCTACGTGTTCACACGTTTCGCTTGGCCTCAAAAACCCATGGAAATCGAGGCCCATCCTTGAGCAGTTCGACCCCTCTCTGCCGATCAAGGCGCGAAAAGCCTGGAGGGATTAGTTCTTTTTCTTCAAAGGAAGATTGCTTGAGCCAGTGACGAAGAGACTGAAACCGGTTTCTTGCAGGATTTGGAGGGAATTACCCGCTATTTCGAGTCTGTGAAAGGCCTCGAGGCCTTTGCAGACCAGCCAAAGATAGAAACACATACCGCTAGAAGCCCAACGACGATATATTTCCCAGCAGTAGTAGTAAAGGAAGTTTCGAATTAGGTCCCCTACAGACAATTCCTCTTAGAGTCTTTGACCGGTACTTGAGGGGAAGTCGATTCGCTTCACCCCAACGTTGATCAGCGCCCAATGTCCCAACGTCAACTGAAATGAAACTCCACCTGGAATTTCGTGTCGTACTGCAATTCGGGTGGGTCAGACGAAGGAGATTCGGTGGTCGTGTCAGACTTCCAAAAGCGGCTGTCTGCAGATGCCCGCTTATTCCAGCAGCCTCCAGGTCAAAGAGGTCGAACCTGTAAGCCTTTGACATTTTTGACCATCAAACAAGACCTGGACTTTTAGGCTTCCGAAACATCGTCTTTCGTAAGAGGAAGCATCGGTGCTTCGTAAGCCGGAGGAGATTTTGGAAGTTGATCCTCTCCCAGAGAGGAAGGGCGAAGCTGACGAGGAGACAATCATGCGGCACCTGTTTGGAAGACTGGGTGTTTCATGCATTTTCAAGCCAATTTTTCCAGATTGCATGTCCTTCTCCAGAAGCGCGCCCGGGTCCGACCCGTCCTGGCGGCCAGGAGGTCTTTTCACCGGAGCCGCCCATGGTCCATTTCAGATTTACTTTCTATGACACCCCGGCTCCGCTCGTCCCGGTCCGCGTGACCGAGTGCCAAAGCATTCCAGGCATCAAAGAGTGGTTGCTCATGGTAGGCTACGTGATGATGGTAGGGTGTTGGAGGAACCCGGGCTGCGAGATCGAACACGAGGACAGACGTGTGTAGAAGTCTACAGTAACTGGTTGTTCCAATGGTCCATCATCAATTGAGATGCTTTAGCATCGCTGGCTGTTCTGCCAGCTTTTCTGACTGAATTCACTTTTGTTTTCTTTGTGCGTGCCCACCCATTCCTGGTTGATGTTGCACTTCTCTGGTGGCGCTGCTCCAGGGCCTTGAACGGCGTGAACCTGGCGACGGCCTTCCATCGGCTCGCGCGGGAGGCGGATGCGAAGCAGGTCGTGGAAGCCCCAGACTTCGTCCTGATGCTGGACCCGAGAAATCCAACGCCAGGAGCGCCTTTCTTTCCTTCCTAAATGCATGTGCTGCATGTTTATGCCCCAAGCAGTGTGTCCACACTAGGGGTTCTTACGGCAGGTGTTTAGGACGCTAAGTCGCTGCTATTTACAGTACATTCATTGACCTCGAGATCTTGGAAGTCAATTTTCAACTGCGGGTGCTGTTCGAGACAGCGCTCTCGACGTGGTGCCGTGCGCATTTTTGGACTTGGTGCTCACTTTTCGTGGCAGGTGCAGGGAACCCCATGCGTGTTTTGGTCCAAGGCGGACTTGTCGTGACAGTTCCAGGAGATCGGAGCGGTTTTACGTCGATGTGCAGATTTCGTGGCAGACGCAGTGCTGCGGACATGGTGGTGGTCTCTGATTTCGTGACGGGCGCAGTGCAGTGAACCGTGGCCGGGGGAGGTCTCGAGGGAAAGCTGCGTTATGGCATTTTGGTGTTGTGTTTGGAAGAGCTCTTGCTGCGAAACGCCTTGGCAGGGCTGCGCGCGTGAATCTTGATGCGCAGATTTCGTGGCAGGCGCAGCACTTTGTGGCAGACTTGGTGGCAGGCGCAGCAGGCGAACGAAGTGAGTTTCAGGGGGGCAGTCCAAAAAAAGCTCGGTTGTGGAAGGGTGAGCCCAGAGCCTGCTGAGGGAGAGCGAAGCAATCAAAACTGAGGGCCATGACGATGTTGGTGATGCGAGTGATGCTGCGACGGTTGATGTTGGTGTGTTTTTGCATCATCAACTGGGAGGGATGGCATTTTTTCTTTGGAGTGTTTTGGAAAAAGTGGGTAGCACCAAGGTTCTATGGCCGAGCAAGAAGATTGGGTTCTTGCGAGGGGCCCCTGACAAAGAGGGGGGCAGCAACAATGGCCTTTGCCGATGCAGGAAGCCGCTTTTCTGGGTTGGTGTCCTTTTGTGGTGTGCTTGAGGGCCGTCTCGAGGCAAAAAGGGCAAGCTTGTGCCAGCCTCCCAATCGGAGCAGACCTGAAAAAGAGGAGGGCCATTTTGGTGCAAAAAAGAGTACTTCCGAAAAGCGGGTTCTAGTAAGAAGGCCTTTGGCAAACAGCAGCGCGTGGCCTGGCTAGAACGAATTGTCGGTGCAGGTATGTAAAGACATTTTACAGAGATCAGATGCAGAGCCGAAGAAGAGCACTGAAGCCCCATTTCTTGGTTGGTGCGTCGGTGTTGTGTTTGAACGCCGCCTCGGGGCAAAAAAGGGCACATCTGAGAAAGATGCCCTTGTGCGCTTTGTTTGACGGCTGTTTGGGGTAGAGCAGGCCACTCCCAACAAGCAAGCTCTAGCGACAAGACCTTGGACAAAGCAGGCCATGGCAGGTGCACTGCGGAGTTTTTGTCAGGAAGTCTCTGGTTGAATGCGCTCAACTTTCTGTGTGCTGCAGGATGGCAGCCTGCCTCCCAACTGCTGCACTGTAATCTGTTGGTCCGCCACGTTGGGAGCCTTTCGTGAAGCCTTGTTCTCCAGCTTGGCCCACATTGCCGCGGGACATTTGGACGCCTGTCAGGGCTATGAGGTAGGGAGCTCAGCTTGGTGAGGGTGCATGAAAGAGCCGTTGGATGATGCATGATGTCAAGAAACAGTGGTTTATTCCTCCTTAAGACCCCACCAGCAGGTGTTCCAGGACCTCTCAAAGTTTGTGTAGCTGGACCCACCTTCAGGTCACCAACATGCTGTGGGCCTTCTCACAGCTACACAAGTTTCAGCCGCAGATGGCCATCAACTTGCCGCCTGCCAAGCGCAACAGCATGGTGAGTCATGTGCGGGATGTGGGACGGAGGTGTCGGGAATTTGCCTGAATAGGTGTACCGTATACGTACATACCTACATACTCACATATATGCATACATACATACGTACGTACGTACGTATACTTACATACATACAGACAGACAGACATACATACATACATGCGTATTTGGGAACCTCCCAGTGAGTTTGTTTCCAATGACATGTGGGTGGAGGTTGGGGGACGATGGACGGTGTCGTTTGTGTCAGAATTTGTGAAGCATTTGACGTGCTTGGAGGGAACGGGCAGAAGAACTTATTTTAGTGATTCCGAAGTTCCATGTTAGGATCAGGTTCATGCTGTTTTCAGTGCCCACCCTCCCAACCCCCCTGGTCTCCTTCCATGTACCCATGTGCAAGATGACTTTGCTTTGCTTTCCACAATGCCGCCCACGCGCTAGATATTTTGCATCATGGCCTGCTGCTGCGGCCGCTTGTTAAGACATTGTTATCCACGAAGTCAGAGAACCCGGCAGCCGGCAGAAGTTGTTTTATACCTATTGTTCCTTTGCCTCTTTGGGCACGATGGCTCTTGCCATTGCTTCCAGTGCGGCAGGATTGGTCAAGACGGAAGTCGCTGAACCGACCCCAAAAGGCTGTAGGCTTCACGCTTTTCTACTGCGCTCACTACTGACCATGATCGAGAACACTGCGACTGATGTTTGGTCGCCTTGGCGGCTGCAATGGATGATGATAGTACTCCAGAACGCCGCGAGTTGATGGAGTGTGACACAAGATGTCATAAACCAGCCAATCTCGTAATAAGGAGAACATCTTTAGCTCGCTTGGTGAGATTTCGTGAGTTCATTGTTGATTGACATAATTAGATGGAAGACCAAAATCAAAACAAGCAAACAAAAACAACCAACCAACCACACAGACAAACAAACGTGCATACATACATAGATAGACACATACGTACATACATACGTACATACATACATACATACACACGTACATACATAAATCCAGACAGGCGCGCGCATACATACATGCATACTTACACAAAAGCCTGCGCGCATACATCCATACTTGCATACAGAGAGACATACATACATGCATGCATGCGTGCATGCATACATACATACATACATACATACATGGCCCAAGCCGTTTGAGGTCTCATCAAATCCAGGCACAGGACCGTTTTTGCCTAGCCTGGAGGTCATCCTTGGCACTGGACGATCTTTGCTCGCTATCCAGGTCTACAGCTCTACGGCGCCTGGCAGTGCTCGCTTGGCTATAAGCTGGAGAACCTCACAGTCACTGGACCTATCTCTCTGAACCTCTCTACGGCCAGACCGAAGAGCGTGCCACATACCTTGCCCACTTGACCGCCGGCTTTGGAGGTTTCAGACCTATGACTCCATCCATGACACCAACCTGGTGCAGAGCATATACAACCTGCAGCCACAGTTCCTGCCGGAACTGGATCTGGAACGACAAAATACAACCAGGCACGAGATGTCGAAGGTGTGGAACCTGGTGGCCCAATGTCACCAAAGCCACGGGTAAAGGGAAAGGACAAGGCCATGGTGCGACTCCGCAAACCTCTCCTGGATCAATGGCACCACCAGCGCCTGATCACAGGACTCGACTGGCGTGTATACCACCAGCAGATCAAACAGCTTCGACCATGGTCGACCATAGGTACAGACCGAAGAAGCTGAACGGGTGGTGCCTTCCAGCAGACCTACGGACCCATCTCAAAACATGGGTACAAGGTGCCGTCCAATATCGAGACAATGGACAAGCCAAACAGTGCCCAATATGCCATGTGCCAGCCGCACCGAAACACATCCTGTGGCTATGTAAGTGGCATCACGGACAAGGCCACAAACCTATGCCACCGGACTGGGCAGAGAGAATCACCCATCATGACGAAGAACCACTATGGAATGCGGGCTGGATTCCACTTGAACCACAAGAGCAACTCCAGGTCGAGCATCCATACCAAGGGCATGGCGCCTGGCAAGACCTTCAAGCCCTGGCGCCCCACCAGCATCAGGGCTGGGCCTTCACCCTGGATGCTACGCCCTCAACCTATGACCAACGCAGCCAGGTCTGGTCTGTGGGCTATGTGTGCATACCATGAGTTTGGGACAACTCCAACGACTACAAGCTACCACGTTCATTCCCAGCAGCCCACAGAACAAGACCAGAGCCCTACTGGCAGGTCTGGTTGCATTGGCCAAGCATACCCTCACACCTGTGAAGGTCATTGTCCAAGTCACCGCTGTTTGGGAAGTATGGACACAACCAAGACACCGGCAACCCTACATGGACCTGCTTGAAGATCTCACAGACCAAGATCTTCAAAGGGTGACAGTCTTGTATGTCAGCCGAAATACTCGCACGCCCAAGGCCTCGGGCAATGAACCTAATCTCAGGAAAAGACAACGTGATGCTCCCTTTTCGCTTGCGAGCGAGCAAACGCCCTGCGCAACCGTCAGACCACTGAATGGCAGCAGGTCTTGGACGATGATCGCACCGCCATCTACAAGCATGCAGTTGCCAGACTTGCCAAGGTCTACGCAGCAAAAGATCACTACGTACATCAAAAAGTGCCCAGACATCAAGGCAGGCAGACCAAGCAGCGCAAAAAGCATTTGGTCATGCAATGCCACAAGCCTTGGATTGCACTCCATCACAGCTAGGAACCACACCACAGTGGGTTTCATTGCAGTGCCTCTGGCATCCGACTGCATCAAGCACTCACGGTGCAGGTCATTGAAGAGAGACTTGGACAACAATGTCCGCTCCTGCGCATTGGCAAGATCCAACCCGATCAGCATAGCCCGCGCAAACCACTACCCAAGAAGCTCACCAGAGCTCAAGTGATTACCAATCTACTTGACCAACAGCGGATGCAACCACCGGCCAAGGCAAGCCATGTTCTCGAAGAGACAAAAGGCCACTTGAGATGTGGCAAGTGCGGATGCAGTGTCCACAAGAGAACCAATGAGACTACCTTTCAAGCTTTCGCCCAAGGGTCTTGCGTCGACCAGGCCTATGACAAACCTCATGAGGGCCATGCCAGCCATCAGCTATGGCAGAAGGGAAAGAAGGTGTCATGCAGAAACTGTGCGGTATCCAACTAGACCTGGACTCCTGGCTGAAATCTTCAGGCGGCAAGCAGAGCAGGCCAGTCAGACAACAAACACGGCTCTGGAACAGGACACAAGTGCAGCCAGACACAAAGACCTCACACACTGTTGGAACAGGGCCAACAGAAGGCCATGCTACCCAGCCTTCCTTGGTGACTCCAACGAAGACACCTCGCAGGCATCTTTGGCTCACCACTGGCGCCCAAAAAGCGCACCTTCAGTGAGCCAGCAAGGTCACCTAATGAACTGCGCCGCAGAACACCCTTTCAGGCTTTGGCAGCACAAGACCGGAAGGGGCAGCCCAAACAGTGGACGAAGAACCCGAGTCTCCTGAAGAGGAAGACGCAACCGACGACGAAGCAGTGGCAATGGTGGACGCGAACTTCTACTTGTAGACCAGGCCTTTATTTTTTTTGCAGCCCCATGAAGAAAACAAACTCCGTGGCCTAGTGGCGCCACCAGCCATGATTGTCATTGCTTGTCTTTGTGAGCATGATGTTGATAAAGTGCGGCGAATGTGCCCGCAGTGTGCTGGCCTCGAGTGCTAGGAGTGCCTAGATGGTTCTCGTGTGCCTGATGGTTTGACCACACTGGCCTCATGCCCTTCAACCACTGGCGGCCTGCTGCGGCCAAAGAGCCAGACCGTTCTTGCAGTAAAAGACTTTAGGAGAAAAAACAAACAAGCATACATACGTACATACATACAAACAAACAAACAAACAAACACACAAACATACAAACATACATACATGCATGCATGCACACATACATACATACATACATACATACATACATACATACATACATACATACACACATACATACATACATACATACATACATACGCCAGCGTCTTCGTTGGTCGCTGACAGCGCGAATCCCCAGCGACCCCCTGCTGTGTAAACAAAGCTCTTGGAAACAGAGTTGGGCACACACACACAGAGTGCCGTACTCGGCGCCGGAAGAAGGCACTGAATAGACTCGACAAAAAACCTGAGCTACAACCTGACAAGCCTCCTAGGAGAAACGAAAGCGAGAGAAGAGCAAGAGCAAAAGGAAAGAGTGAAAGAACTCTATGCAGCGAAGCGGGCTCTGTACTCAGTTCGCTCGGCAATTAGACCTGATTTACAACCAAACAAGCCCCTAGAAGAAACGCAAGCGAGAGAAGTGCAAAAGCAAAAAGAAGGAGTAACAAAAACTCTGCACAGTGAATTGGACTCAGTGCTCAGTTCGCTCACCAAAAACTTGATTTACAACGTAACAAGCCTTTAGAGAGAACGAAAGCGAGAGAAGAGCAAGAGCAAAAGGAAGGAGGGAAAATCAGCCGTTGCAATTGGAAACTGCATGGAACTCAGCAAGTAGATACATGGTGAGATTGTGTCATAAGGTTTCTGTGAACTCGGCAGTCTTGGTTCAGGTGGTTCTGAAAGTGATAGATCAGGAAGATGGCTCGCGGCACACAGCAGCTCTTCAGGAAGTTTCAGGCATGAGTACGGCGCCGCTTGCGGGGATCACACCGCACACCCAAGTGGGAAGATGCAGCTGGTCACACTTAGACTCGTAGCTCAAGTGAATGGGCATTAAGTTCAGAGAAAGGTTCAATGACGGGTCAGCCCTTGACTGTCTAGTTACCGCAGAAACGAGCCCGGCTGACCTGGCAATGGCCCTGTGCTCAACAGAATGGTGGAAAGTCGAGAACAATATGGTTAAAATCAGTGCTGCAAAAACGGGTGTGGCCACCAGCTGCGTCTGACAATGCGCCCAGGCGCGCCAATGCAGGTACGTTTTCACAGGAAACGCGCAACGTTTTCATTGGTCGCTGACTGCGCGACTCCCCAGCGACCCCCAGTTGAACATACATACATACATACATACATACATACATACATACATCGTATGTTTACATGCGCACCTGGGGTTGCAACTGTATGCACGCCTAGAACCTGAGCGACCCCTGTTTTGACCAAGCACCTTCCAAAATACAGACTTTGCTGCTTAAAGCATGGAGCACCAACCCAGGTATATGTAGGTAAGCTTGGTTCCGCGGAAACTTGGCGCTTTGGCCTTAAGAGCGGCCGCGAAAACCGAACCAAATTGCCGAGTTGTTGGTCACTCGGGCATGTTTTCGAGGCAAGGGGACCTGCAGAATTTTCTTGATGCAGTGATGCACTTGTTCCTCAATCGGGGCCTGGGCAAGATGAAAGGTCAAATTTTGATCTCCGCGCTTCTTTCGGTTGTGCCTCGGCGTCCGGCCAGACGGCCAGGTGAAAATAAGATTGAAGGTCTCGAAAAACTAACGCTGGAGGGTGATGGGGTTGTAGGTGTTTATTGTTTCTACGTGTCGGAGATCCAAGGTTTCTGGTGGGCAAGGTGCAGTGCGCGAGTGCACGGGCCCCTGCTGGTTGCCATGATCAGCAGCTGACAAGTTCCCCCGTGATTCAGATTAAAGGCCCCAGGGCCTGGGTCCATCCTGGTAGTCCATTCCATTTTGTTCATTTTTGGTGGGACCACTTGTGCCATGCACACAGCTTTCAGTTCCTTGCCTTGCTGCTCTTGGCCGGGTCTCTTAACCACATCCCTGGCGTGGTTTCCTCCGCCCTTCGTGGACCACTAGGTGAACTTTCCCAGCTCGGTCCCCGAGCAGAGCGCTCTGTTCGAGCGGCGACACGCTGGGCGCGGCTCATCTCGGAGCACCGGACCATCCACGTGGCCTGTGAGTCCCTTGGCCACACGGGGAGCGATGGAAGCAGTGAGAGAAGAACGACGCCGTGGAAGTGGAGCAGTCTGAGTGTTTTTGTTTTTGGTTGGGAGGTGGAGGACGGCGTGTTGGAAGTTGGCGGGTGTCATCGATGATCACTTGAAGCTGAAGTTCTTTCAGTTCTGGGGGGAGGCTGAAGGTTTGTTTGGTATGCGCAGGGTTGTGATTGAGGGAGTTGGCCTGTTTGCCAGTCAGACCACGTGTTGAGTTGATGGGGAAGAAGAGATGTGGGGTCGACGGGGTCGCTGCGACCCAAACAACCGAGGTTCCAAGCACTTGGAACCGCTCCGGATCGAACATTGCCATGTCCTGTCAGTACCCTGAAGTGGTACGAGCATTTGGAGCTGACAAATGTTGAACCCTGAACCTTCCCGCAGGTTTTCATGTTGACCCACTCGACGGAGTGTTTGTCCTTTTTCCACCTGCAGCTTGTGCACCAGGATCATGCGCTAGAAGATCTGCAGCTCGTGCAGAGTCTTGGAGCGCCGGGGGAGGGCAAATCCTTGCCCAGTCGAGCCAGGCAAACCACTAGAGTAGGTCACCAGTGGTTGTTTCAAGACTTCCACCATCCACCGAGGTCCAAGGGCCCCGAAGGAAGCTTCTCTACATGTTTCTGCGGTGAAAGACCTTTGGGACCCGTTTCTGCACCAATGACTTGGCGAAACCCACAACACCGCATGAGATCCCGAAAGCGCACGCACCAGCGGAGCTTGGAGTTGTTCTTGCTTTAACAAGTGAGGGGCTGGAATCCTCGAGAGCGTGAACACTTCATAGGCCCCCCCCGCGGGTTCAACTGACGTCTCTGGGACGTGTGTATTTCCGCTGGCAGGGGGCGGCTGACTGTTCCGGGCAGCACCCCCTTCATGCTCATATATATTTTCTTACCTTTTTCGGTCGGATATCCCCCGCTTCACCCCCGCCCTGCTAGCTTTCGTCACCAACCCTCGGCCTCAAGTTGCTGGATGAGAAGAGCTACAGTTGCAGTGAAGCTACCGGGTCTGCGAGTGAGAGATTTGTCAGAGAAACCAACTTTGCATGACGTTTTGTTCAAGGAAAGCACATGAGATCCCATGCATGGTTGTGGGTGGGGTGGGTCATGGGGTGGACCGGGGTGCAGCTCATGACTCCTCCCACACATGAGAACACTCACGCTTTGGAGGGTCTCCTGCCCTGAAGCCCAGGAAGATGGTCCAGATGCTGAAGCCGATTTGCCCCGAATTGGGGATCTCGAGAGGTTTCAAGAAGCCGGGTTTTCGACAAGATGTCGATGCCTCCCAGGTCTGAGGACACCAGATTGGCTGTGGGGAAGGTAGGCACCAGGATGAGCCCAATGAATTAATTAAGGCTGTAGAAGCGCTGGAGGATTTCATGCTGTTTCATGCTCCATGGTGGTGCTTCCACATTTTCAAGGCAAGTTTTGGTCACAGACATGGTGACACTTTGCTGATTTAGACAGTCCTATTGGCAGTTTTGCGATGAATAAGCGGTGATGTAAGAAGATGGGGCTCCCCCCCGGCACGCCAGGCACGCGGCTCCCCTCTCTCTTTGGTGGCCATGTAGGGATCTATCCGAATCTATCCGTTGTCCTGTCCTTGATTCAGGTGTTTGAGTTTTCGGAGGCCGATGGAAGCGAAAGCCATGCTGCCAGATGGGCGGAAATAGCAGGGCCAATGATGAATATGGACCCCGCCACAGAGGTGGGGTGAATAGATACATTTTATTGAAGGATCTGACCGGTGCCGTCGCAAATCCTCCGAAGAGCGAGGAGAAGAACTCCCCGAAGAACTCCCCGAAGAACTCCCCTGTTTTCCACGTTTCCCTTTTTTTGGGCAAAGGTCGGATCAGCCCAGCCGGGGCATGTCAGACGGCCACGAATGGCTGCCCGTGGATTTAAATTTAACATTTAAAGGTTTGATGTCTTTAAGTTCCAAGCATTCGAACTGAATGCTTGGGGTAGTAAGACAGGCAACAGGCCCAGATGAATCTTTGGTACAACCTTTCTTTGAATTGAATAGACGAATTGATCTTTTGTGGGCAAACCCTTCCCAAGTGGCTTCCCCTTATCCTCACATTTCATTTGGGCCTTGGCCAGGATTTGCATTTGCCCGGTGCTGTCGGGCAAGGGGCGACTTTAATTGTGGCGCACGAATCACGCCCACATGCCCCGAGCCGCCTGGTGATGATCTGTCTGCCCGACGGCGTCGGAAGTGAAGAACCGATCTCAAAACGGACCTCCTTTCTGCGTGCGGGGCAGGGCGTCAAGACTCTTGGCGGCCACGTCGCTGATTCCGCCAGATTCTCTTGGCTGGATGATGGATTATATAAATGGATTGTGGTCCTCTTTTGGCCAATGCCTTCTGGTCAGTGATCTATGACAGGTGTTTGGCTATGGGCCATCTCAAGGAATCCAGAGTCGACACTTGGATGTCCTTGGAGCACTAGGTTTCCACCTGTTCCCGTCAAAGTCAAAGTCAGACTTTGGTTCGGATTAATATATTGAAAATTATTGAAATACAATTTCCTGTACTTCCTGAATCGGAAACGGACTCTTGAATAGGAGATTGACCTTCCAATGTTTAAGGCCTCCTCTGGAGGCAGAAGGCTACCATTGCACGGGTAAAACGGGTGAAAATGCTAGTTGCCCTTTACCTGTCAACCTCATGAGGAACTGGTGGTGTTCTCACCACCTGTTGGATAGGACTCCAAGCTTCAGGCTATTGAGGACTGAACCAACTGAGAAGGTTCCAGATTTCAGCACTGCAAGCCTGCAAGCCCAATCTGGGAGCCCGGAGAGTCCTGAGAGTCCTTATCTCCTTGTTTTCTTGGAAGATCTTCGGACCACTCGGCGCCAAAGATTGGATGCGAGCACCTCAAAGCTTATCCACTGTCCGTGCCGCGAAGGGGCTAAGCGCACCAGGCTGCCAGCGAACAGCTGGCCCTGGTCATGGAAGAAGCCTGCGGACATATATACAGATGTCAAGTTCTGCGCCTGGCGTTGTGGCAGTATGGCAAGGGAGCAAGTCCCACCCAGGCAGTGGATAATCTTCCACCATTTTGGGGGATTGGCGACGCCCCACTCAAAACGACTAGGTGGACCAGGTGGACAGTTTTGTTGACCTCTATTTTCCAGCGAAACGGCTCGAGAGAAGTTGAAACTCATGGCAGTTGAGGTGGCTCCTTGGTGAGTTTGACGGCCAAGCCCCTTTGTTTTTCCCATCGCGAGCGGCAAAGCAAAACTTACCATCCCATCCCTCTCCAAATTAGAGACCACTTGGGCAACGCGGGCAACGCCAGGCTGGAAGAATGTAGGCTCGTGAGAGAGTATTTAGCTGGGTCTCCAGCGCTGGCGTCAAGGGGCGCCGGTGCACTGGACGAAGTTGGACGAAGATGCTGGGATGAGCTTCCCCAGCGTCCGGGAGTGGTTTTCATGATGTTTGCTGGTTGGGTTCCATGGTGACGGAGGGGTCGTCCATGAACATCAGCAAGGTGCAGGCGCGCGATGGGTTGATGAAATGGTACACTCCCCGAGATAGTCATAGAAGTGAAACACATGGCCTCTTGGATGACTATGTTTCCTCCACAAACCGGTGGCGAACTCCACTTCCAAGATCATATGAGTGTATGTCCCCTCTCAAATTCGATTGGTCACCTTGCTCAGCGAACGTGGAAGACGCACCATCCCAGCCTTTTTCAGAGGAAAACGCAGCGGGCCACCAGGGGGAGCAATGAGGAAGCGTCCAAGCGGCGTGGTCTCTCAACCTTCGAGTCTTGAGGAGTTGGTGCTTTCAAGTGGGCATTGGATCACTGCACGTGGCCCCCATGCGATGTCCCCAAAATTTCCCAACCATGCCAAAGCTGGAGGTGTGACATGTTGAAAGTGGGAGGCCACTCCGGAGTCCTAAATACATCCCTTATACTTTTATAAGACAGAAACTTTTGGTTGTCGGCGGGGTTGTTGGCGCGTGGAGCGCTGGCCCCAAAATTCACGCGCACAGCAGGAAGACATGGCAGTGAACAACTGCTGCAGTGTTTCCTCCTTCCCTCCGCTTCACATCATTCAAGCGAAGGTCTTGGACTTCCAGTCGCGAATTCGTTTTTGGTGATGAAAAGATTCGGAACTGGTTTGCTCATTACATGTCACGCCTCCCAAAGGTCCAGATTGGGGTGAGGCGGTTGGTGAAGCTTCGCTCCGACCCTGAGTGAAGGGGGAGGGGGCCAATTCGGCCAATACGAGCATTTTCGAGGACCGTTTCAAAGGTGAAGAAGGAAGTGAAACTGTGGGCGGAAGGGTCCGATGGGTGCCTGGGTGCCTGGGTTCCTGGTCGTCTGGTCTTTTGTTTTGGGGGCTCATTGTGGCGGAAGGGGGCAGCTTTGACCCTCGGCCTGGGGTCTTAGAGCAATTGGATTGGTGGCTTGAAGCTCCATTTCCAAGGCTGGCCTCCATTTCGTTTCGACTGACGCGAATTGAAGTCAACACGTGCATATACATACATACCTACATACCTACGTACATACATACGTACGTACGTACATACATATACATATTCAATCATTCAAGGTAGGCAGGGTCGGTGATGAGGAATTATTTGGGAAGCTTCAAGTCAACGTCTCCCCGCTGTTTGAATGCTCAAGCCAAACGGGGGAGACCCCCCTGAGGAGCAGAGTCACTGCTGGTCCCTCAGGTTAGATTTTTCTTCAGTTTCGTTGCTGCCATGTCTGCTGATGATGCCCAGACGCGCCGTGCTGTCGAGCAGGCCAAGCTCGATAGGTGGCGCGCGGCACATCATATCGAGGCAGCTTCTGACCTGGCCTTCTACTTCCTGACGTATGAGGAGGCCTTGTTGGAGGGGCGCGCCATTGCAGACGGCTGGGGGCAAGCCCGTCGCGAAGTTGAGATTGGGGCAGGGGCTTTGGTCCGTGACTTGTTCCGCCGTGAGCAGGTCTCGCAGGCGGCTCCTCGCCCTACTACCTCACCGACTTTGACATCGCGACCTACACCCTCATTCGCGGGGCCCGTCCGGCCTAGCGCCCGGGGCCACCAGTCGGGTGGCTCGGAGGGGGGCGCCGTCTCTTTCCTGCCGCAGCTCATGGCGATCCTCCTTGCGATCCAGCCGCCCCCTGCCGACCGCTTCGTGGAGTTCACAGCCAACTTTGAGGCTCGGCTCAAGGGGATCTTGCAAGCGGGCGCTCCACACCTGGCAGGAGGCTCACTTCTTCCGGGGCCACCCAGCCTGACAAGCACTTGTTGGCGACCTTTATTCGCCAGCATGCAGCGCCCACCCGGGCCTTCACGTCGTTGGGTTGGTTGGTCCCCAACCTGCGCCTTCCCCTTGACATGTCTGAGGTGACGAAGCCGCGTTCCGGGCTTGGTGCGCGGCTGGGCCAGGGGCAGGCTCAAGCTGCCACGCTGGAACCTTCTATGGTGCTGCACCTATTGGGCACGTTGGAGCTGACAATTGCTGATCCACATTGGCCATTGATCTTTTGTGCCTACGCGATGTGCTTCGGAGTCGTCCGGCACGCGCACCTCCAAAGCAGCTACCTTGTAGGCGGCAATGGCGGCATCCTGGTATTTTGGTGTACCAAGGGCAAGACTGGGAGCCGTGGTGGTTTTGCATGGAGCGTGCCACGCTACTGCGGCACATTAGATCTTTTGCAAGTCTTGGGCAGCCACCTCAACAAGGTCCGACCCCACTCGGGACCGGCTTTTCGCCGATGGCATTGGCTTGGGTTTGATTCTGCGACAGCCCAACCTGTGGACACGCCTCAGTTCATCCGTATTTTGCGCCCTCACTTCAGCGCCGCTATGGATACTACCAGTTTGTCCTCGTACTCCTTCCGCAGGGTTTTGCCTACGCTTGCTGGCTATGTGGAGCTGTCGGAGACCGAAAAGTTAGCTCTCGGTCAATGGACCGACCAGTCGTCCAAGACCACCGCCACTACGCCCCTACGTTACGACTCGCAGGGTTGCACTTTTTCCATGACCTCCACATGGCTCTCTGGCACGAACTTCCTGTGGGGTACATTGATCCTCAAGGCCATCGTCGAGCTTATGTTGTCCATATTCGTCCTGAGATTTTTGAGGTTTGGTCACACCATGAGGCCAAAATTGAACAACTGGAGTTGTTGACAGTTTATATGGGCTAGCGTACAATGCTTCATCTACTAGAGGGATGCATGGTATTTGGTTCGTCGACAACATTGCAGCCCTTATGTCCCTCATTCGGGGGCGGAGCAACAATGAAGAGTTGGATTCCAGGCCGGAGCTATACATGGTTTGCTCT